CCCCCCTCCCCCTTTTTTTTTTTTTTTTTTTTTTTTTTTTCCCCCTCTTATCAACAAACATTCATTTATCCTTTAACTTATTCATCTATACTAATATTACTTTTAAATTTAAATAAAATATAAAAAGACATAATTTTTTTTAATTATATAATGAAAATAATAATAATCTTATGTGAATTAATTATTTACTTGGCCTATGAAATAATATTCAATCATATATGGGGAAAAAATGAAAGTTGTTCAATTATATAATTGATAGGATAAATTTCGTGAACTAACTTAACCTAATTATTATTTTTTATTTGTTTCCATAATTTATCGACTGGATCTTTTTTTTTTTTTTTAAGTTACTAATTCACATGTAAATTAGTACTTCCATCAAACCAAATCACATGAAAATTTAATTAATTTGTATGTTAATTAAAAAATAGTTAATATCATTTAATTGTATTAATCTTAATTAAAAAAAATTCTTATACTATTTTTTATTGGAACTTGATATCGAAAATTAAAACAATTTTAACAACAATATAATCTTCATTAAATGAAAAACATTTTTGGAGATTATATAATTAAATATAATAAAAAAATTCAAATGTGCTTATGTTCACATTTATGTTTTTTTTATATTTAAATTTAGAGTATAACTTTACACATCGTTTTTTTTTATTTTTTATTTTTATATAAATCTCATTGATAAGAAATTTAATGCTTAATATTACATGCATATACTTAATAAGTCATAAATGTATTAAAATATTAAGTGTTAATTTTTTATTTATGACCAAAATTACTTATTCTATGCTAAATTTAAACGAGACAAACATTGATGAGAAAAATCGTAAAAGTTAAATATACTTTTAAATGGAAAAAAGCGATGACTTTGGAATTATTACGACTTTGCTGTGTTTGGATGATTAGAGTAATAGAAAGGAATAGAATAAGAGTGACAAAAATATAGGAGAAATAAAATAATAATAAAAAATATATATGTTGTTTAAATGAATATATAAATAAAAAGGAAAGAAGTGAGATTTTTTCACTGTCTGAATGAATGGAAAAGTGGGTAAAAAGAAATGAAAATATAACAATATATTTTTCACTGTTTTGCACCTTTATTTTAAATTTTTTCATTTGACAATATATTTAAATTTAAAAATCTATGAGCGATAAATGAAAACTTAATACCTGTAAACTAAAGTTAACATAATCATCATTTTTGTTCACTATTGGTTTTCCAAAAACTTAAAAGTTATAAATGTTTTAAGAGCATAAATTAATTATTTAAGATTGTGACATAATATGGCTTTTAATTAAAAAAAACTCTAATATATAATTGATTGGAGTCAAAAAAATTTTTTAAAAATGTGAATTAATAAAAAAAATTTTTAGTAATTTTAATTACATTAATTTTTTTAAAAAAAATAAGTTGGAGATTGAATAAGCGTAATCATACTAAAAATTTTCAAAAAAGTTGATTACTAATTTTAATTTTACATGAATCGTCTCCTACACTAATTTAAACTTTTATTTACAAAAAAAAAAATCTTAATTTGAGTATAATTAAATATTTCTTATTTTTTTATTCACCATCAATTGATTTAAATTCTCAATAACATGCATGTCAGTCATTGTAATTATTTCCCTCATGATTTTTATCTTGCTTTTAAGAAGAAAATAAATGTGAGAAACATAATGGGAAATATTAACTATTTTTTTACAGCAACGGGAAATTTAGTTAAAAATAAATAAATTCATGAAAACATCTTTTACATGTTGCAAATTAATTATTAGTATACACCATGAAAAAAAAAATACTTTGCTTAATATATAATTCGTTTTATTTTGTGTATTTGGATTATGTCATCCTAGTAATCGAGATTTGTGACTTTTTCTAATGAGTGATTAAATGTTTTATTAAACATACAGTTGAGAAGGTCTTTTCTATCAAACATTCAATGTGTGCAAACAGAAAGAAATTTCCTACAGTACGAACCAGTAAAAAATTTCACATGGAATAAGGCATCGTTCTTGATGTGTGAGACCATATACATCCACAACAACAAACATGCTCTTCCTTCCAGAACTTCCTATCTCAACTGAATTAGTAAGGCCTCAAAAATGCTTCAGGGAACAATCTGGGGAGATTCCTATTCTTGGCTCGCACTATCAGGTAATACACACCATAGCATGGAACGTGAATTAGCGCGAGGCACAAATACCTGCATCGTATATAGACTCATCAATGAAACCATTTTTATGCAAGAAAAGCCAAGTCTAAGAATAAGGCAAGACTTGAACAATTTTAAAGTGTGTGTCACGCACCAGATAGGAGCCCACTTGTTATTAAGCTCAAGAAAGGGATATGGCCACCTGTTAGGGAACAAGAACATATTTTTACAACTAATTGATGTACAAAAAAGCTTGTGGCTCACAGAGAAAAGGGAGGGAAATATTTTGAACGTACCATTTGAAACCAAAGGCGTGGATGATCCATTGGAAAATGACGTAACCACAGCTCCAGAGAACAAAATAGGAGATTCTAAACCAAGGAAATGGCTGGCAATAATGTAGCAACATCAAAACCGTGAGCCTAATGGTTTTAAACCAGTGCTTAATTAAATTTATTCAATGGTGTATCACACTTACGAGATTGTTAAGAGCTGTTTCCAGAAGGAGGAAAACTGCATTCATTGCATGCATGCAACCCATCAACTGTCAAGTGCAAGGGCCAATAAAAATCGATGAGTTTCTTTCTTACAAGGATCAATTATCATACAATCAGTGGTATAGACAGCAATGACTAGGTGAAGTTTATCAATCAATCTAGAATATGAGGAATTTGTAAATAATCTTTAGCCGTAAGTAATTTTATTGCTTGAATGCACAAACAGAGTGAATGAAAGGAGAAATATGCTCTAGGAACAAGAACAATTAGTTTACAGAAAGGGTTATACTCACCGGGTTTAGTCTTAAATGAGAAATTGATAAGAATGGGACTATAATACACCAAAATACAATGTCTGTTAGGATAGCAGCCCCTGCACATGTCTGTTAAATGCAGCATATCAATTCAACCTGAATATTGTTGACAAATTATAAGGGGAAAAAAAGCATAAGAAAAGGAAATAAAAAATTCTTCATTCTAGGTTCTGTGAATTGTTTATAAACTGCAAAAGCTAGGCCAAGTGGCTTATGCTTGCCTGTGGCTTAAAGCTGTTGTCTTACATTTGAACTTCAGTCTTTAACTTCATCATTGTCAGTATTTCTCTCTGAGTAATGATTTCGATCAATAGATACATAATCGAGAATATTCCATTCTTTTCCACATGTACTTGATAAATACTAGTAATTAGGGAAAAACATCATACACAATCCTTACATTTACAAATGAGAAGAGTCTATATCAAAACAAGATTATGTGATAATACATATATGGACGCTCAAACTTTTAGATCCCATAATTCCTTACCATTATTCCAATATCTCAACCAAACCTCTCAATCCACCCTACCTATATCATACCATGACTATTTCCCTAATACAGACAATCAACTGCTTTTTTACAGTCTTTCTGAGTCTCCTAGTTTTCTCTTAAACAAATTTATCTTATATCTTGCATACCTCGTATGTAACTATGTATTTTGATAGTAATCATTATATGATATAAATAATAAATAAATAAAAAAAGGAATTTGGCTTAAATTCAAACACAGATAAAATCAACTGTTTGAAAGCTGCTAATACATTTAGGCCTAAAAGGAAGAATCAAGCATAAACCGGGGGCATGTGCTAATTATCTAGCATATCAGTTAACCGACACTAAAATGGCCATCATCAAGTAGCAATTTCTTTTGTAATTTTCCCGAGGAAACATTGAATTCGAACTGTTCGACTCGACCAACCTGATATGTAGTTTGCATAAGGTAACCCCAAAACCCTGCTCTTTGTTGAAACTCCTCTTCAACATATTGGCTTTCCAACATGGTGGAACCTTTGACGTCTTTCTCTTGATAGGTGGTTAAGTCTCTAGACATTGTCTCTTCTACATCCCTTCTCAGAAATTCATCCCTTCCTCCATTGTGAATAAAAGGTTTACTAAAGAGTTGCCAGCATCCATATGCAGATACAATGGTCCCCAACTGCATTCAGAGTTCCGAAGAACAAAATTGAAGTTGTTAATTATAAAAAGAACAAAACTTAGATGAAGTTATTCAGATATTTTTAGCACTGTTCTGTAATCAAAATTAAAGTTTGGTCTGAATAACCCATGTGGAATTTTAAAACAATCATTTATTATGCGAATTATCAATGCGAAACTTTAATTCTTATGGAAAAAACAACACAATAATACTTAAGAAACTACAACAAAATTTTGTTATTACAAAAACAGCAACTGTTTTAATTTATAGGTCTTCTACTAACTCCTACTTTCCTAGAGAACGTGATTCCCACTCCCATACCATCTTAGACAATGAGCTTAAAACAGATGAGATTGTCATTCTTGTCATACCGCAAAATATATGGTAACCAACGTGAAAGTCCACCTGCAAATAAATGCAGTATAATTAAAGGGTCTTCACAGAATAAGAAAACAGTAGAATTGGCATGCTATTCAATTCCTTCTAGAGTTTTCTAGTCAAGGGAACATATTTATTATTGGAGCAAACCATAGAAAGAAAGACAAGTAATAAAATGTTCTACCCTTTGGCAAAGAGAGTGCTAAAATGGCAATTTTAGAGCAATAAAATAAAGATTGGAATTTGGAAAGCATACTCTGTGTAGTAAATAAAGATGCTTGCATCATATACGAGAACGTCCCAGAGTAAAAAAAGGAGCATGATCACAAAAGAAAGAAAACGGGTACAAAGAAGGCAAAGAGGGTGCAATCTTCGCCAACAACTAGTCCATAGCTGTGAGGTGCTAACGTGACCTTTGGGCAACACATTGACGACAACTTCATGGTCAGGTCGAGACAACAAAAGGCTCTCATAGGTTGTCTCAAAATCTCTTTTGGAAGCTCCTTCGTTCATTCCCAGCACCCACAAGGCACCCACAAAGGCCATGCCCACCATGCCAAAACACACAAAATCATACCATGCTATCTCCAATGCCATCACCGTTAAACGTGGTGGAGGCACAATGGCTTTGGAACTTAACCACTATGTGACAAGCATATACACATTTCTAGGCTCTCATAGGGGACTGGTAGTTTAAGTTTGACTGTCAGGTTTGGTATCTCTCGTGCTCAACTTTGACAAAACAAAAGGTTACACGCGTTTAGACACATTTGCTGTTGAATAATGAATTCCAATTCTGGGTACTGGAATTTGGACGAGACAAAGTTAAAAAATAGGATAAGCATTTTTAGGGAGTACTTTTCAACCAAGAATTTTTAGGATTTTTATATATATATATAATAGCGTTTGCAGAGTTTTTATTTTTTTTACTCTAATCTCTCAGATCTTTCGATATATTACTTTTATTATTTTATTTTTAAATTATATTTGATTTTTTAAAAAAGAAATTATATGACAATAGAAAAATATCATAATATAAATTATTTATCATAAATATAAAATATATTTTACATGTGCTTAATAATATATTTATTATAAATTTTATGTATAATATAATTTATATGTTAAAAATATTTATTTATGATAAATGTTAATTATATAAAATAAACTACTATCTCATCATAGACTGATTTAAAAATATGATATGTTTGGATAAATTTTCCTATAAATATTTATAGATAAAATTAAAATTACAAATTATAAATTAAAATTAACTTATGCATAAGTTAAAATAAGTTTGTGCAAAAGTTAATATATATATA